AGACAAAGCCTGGTTTATCTGAATGAGACCTTAGTGGGCCGCTCACTCCCTCTGGGACTCTTGAGCACTCTTCACTCCGATCACACCCGATCCTGAATTTCCCAATCGCTCTGCACCATCACTTAAACAAACAAGCAGCTCAGCACATGTCAGACTGCAATACTGTGTCACTGGCTCTATTGTATCAGAGTAAACAGTCGCTTGAGAATACGCCTGTCGGCCTCTGTCTGTCTGTGACAGGTGGCTCTTTTGTGTTCCAGTGCTGGAGAGTGTTTACTTTACCTCTCTAAAACCACTAAGATTGTTCTGCCAGAGCCAGGCTTATCCTGCATCTAAAAGTGATAGACAGGTGTGTGGCTTTGCTAATCAAGTCCAATCAGTATAATCAAACACAGCTTGACTCAAATGAAGGTGTAGAACCATCTCCAGGATGATCAGAAGAAATGGACAGCACCTGCGTTAAATATATGAGTGTCACAGCAAAGGGTCTGAATACTTAGGACCATGTGATATTTCAGTTTTTCTTTTTTAATAAATCTGCAAAAATGTCAACAATTCTGTGTTTTTCTGTCAATATGGGGTGCTGTGTGTACATTAATGAGGAAAAAAATTTACTTAAAATGATTTTAGCAAATGGCTGCAATATAACAAAGAGTGAAAAATTTAAGGGGGTCTGAATACTTTCCGTATCCACTGTATATTAAACCGAAATATTTTGGGCAATGTAACTGCAAATGGAACTTGCATTGTAATACTCTGAAACGCATGTCTCTCATTTAGGGTTGCAAAAAGGTGGAAAATTTCCAGTAAATTTTGGAAACATTCTAGAAATTTTGGAAACTTTCAAGGATTTTTTGGAATATTCCAGGGATTTTTGGAAAGTTTCCGTAACCTTGCCGGAAATTTTCCACCCCTTTGCAACCCTACTCATATTCATATTTTTGCATATTGCATATAACTTTCAGTAAAAGTTTCATTAATGTTCAATCAAAAGTAAGGATTTATGACACCTGCTCAAAAAGAAAAGTGGTTTCCGTGTGGAACAAGTTGCATTTTTTTTTTATATGTACAAATGAATCTTCTCATGACATGATGCATAACTTCATTAAATATTTTTCTGTAGTCCACCACGGTCAGCATAAACTCTTCGTTAATGTAGCTTAAACTGCAAAAAGCATGTACAGGTACTGCGCACATAGAAGAATCCCTCGTGTGAACCTGCGTATACAAACCTCAAATCCATCCCATACCTCATACATGATTCATCAGGGATCTGAAACGGAAATGTCAGGTCTCGATTGTACGCTACCTTTGACTAATTTAACGGAAAACTCAACTAGAGTCAATAATGAATGATGACATGTGGTGCAGTCATCAAAAAACAGTAAAACCTTCATGTTCCCATGAAACCTTAAGGTTTAAAGTTTTGCTTTAAGTAGGATATTCAGAGTTTTGTTTGTTCACTTAGTAGCAAGTTAACTAGAGATCCATGTTACATACAGAAATTTTTGAAGTCTACACCATTTTCTGCTAATTTCTCTGATTTCTGTGCAGCTGGTTGAAGAACACTGGTGTTATATTATTTGTGTTGTTGTTTTTTGGCAATGTCAGGTATTTCAAAGTAAGCCGGTCACTAAAAGGCACATAAAAACTAAACGATCTCTGATTGGATATTTTTCTTGTCAGTCAGAGCCTCTGTAGGTGGTTCTTGGCCAGAATAAGCTTAAATCTGGACTAGACTTTATCCTAATAGACAAATGTCTGGCTATGTGAGACTAATATGATTAAATCCACACTTTACAATTTCATTCACCTGATATGTTTTTCATCTGTAGCATTTCCCCACCTCCCTCTCTCCTACGCTACCTGACATAATGGATAATCAGGAGATGTGCTGAATACATAATTGGCATCTGAATGTAAAGTGGCTCTCTGCTAATCCGGCCAGGTGTGATGCCTATAACATCATAGTTTTGTCTCTCGAGACGCTCATTGCTTGATTGATTAGTTCCTGTCAACCCCAACCTCCACCAGGCTAGAGCCATAGCAGAGAATGGATTTCAGTGGCAATTCACTGCTTGTATTGGTTGTGTCTTAATTGGCCTCATTTTTGGTGTTTGTGTTGTTTTGCCATACAGTGGCCCCAAAACTACCAGATAATCTTCAAATACGTCATTTTGAACAGTCTGTCTTGTTAACAGTTTACTCATCTGTCAATCAATCATTGCTCTAAAACAAACTTTGCTTTTATGTTTTGAACTTTTGTATTATGCTAATTTATTTTGAGAAATCAAACCTGACTATTTTTACTTTCTTGAAGCAATAATTCACCCAAAAATGAAAATTTGCTGAAAATGTACTCATCCTCAGGCCGTCCAAGATGTAGATGAGTTTTTCTTCATCAGAACAGATTTGGAGAAATTTAGAATTACATCACTTGCTCACCAATGGATGCTCTGCAGTGAATGGGTGCCGTCAGAATGAGAGTCCAAACAGCTGATTAAAAACATCACAATAATCCACAAGTAATCCACACCACTCCAGTCCATCAATTAATGTCTCGGAAACCATCTTCACAAACATTTTATTGTCTTCACAAGATGTTAATTAATGGATTGAAGGGGGTGTAGATTATGTTTTTATTGGCTGTTTGGACTCTCATTCTGACGGCACCCATTCACTGCAGAGGATCCATTGGTGAGCAAGTGATGTAATGCTAAATTTCCCCAAATCTGTTCCCATGAAGAAACAAAATCTATATCTTTCATCAAGGCTTGAGGGTCAGTCCATTTTTGGGTGAACTATTTCTTTAATGAATAGTTTTGGTCATCTTGGACTGTTTCATCTTTGCACATCATTAAAAAAAAATAAAGCTTGTCTTCATAATCTTTCATCAAAATGTGACTAGATGTAGTCAAATGAAAATAAATGTTATTGTGTATTTTAATTCAGAATAATTGAATGCACCAATGCATAATAAGATTAGGAACATGTATTAAGTATATAGGGTAATCTAAAGCAGGACATGCACCTGCTCGCTCTAGCCGGTCTCTTTATCTTTGTGAATGGATTGGAAGGTATTATTTGAACTGGTTTGTGTTGATTTTTGTTGTCGTGGAGAGGCCTGATTGTCTTTGTCTCTGTGGAAACCTGTTGAAACAAGGAAACAAACACTGTGCAGTTTATCAAATCTGGTTTAACAGCTGACGACCCTTTCACACTTCTCATGAGCAGGACATCCAGCAGTGCTTTAATAAAGTCATAAGTTAAGACCGTTTTCCTGGCTTTCTTCTTTTTAGAAAATGTAATGGACTTCAGTAAGGATTAAGGAAACTGTACATTATTTTCACCGTTTTCCAGACAGACTCGGCATGTCAATGTAGCTGATGTCATCATAATGTTTTCCTTGCTCTGGATCTTTATAGTGGCCTGTGTGACAGTAATGGTGTCAAATCTCTGAATGTTTATGTCTTTTAACGCAAGACCACTGGTTTTCTCTGGGTGGGAGGAGAGCAGTGGGCGGCACTGCTGGCAGACCGTATCATCGGGCACATGTTGGCCAGCCCCCCATCGCTGGCAAATGGGAAATTAATAGTGTTGGTTATGTCACTGTCTCAGTAATCCTTCTGCTGTCGACACTAGTACGTATGTGTGTTTACGTGTTTGCATACACGTTTGTATGCATGCTTATGAAGGGCCGTCCTTATGAATTTGACTTGAAAATTTTCCACTGACATGAAGCTCATTTATTTTTGGAATACATTAAAATGCAATTCGTATATACAGTCACCTGAATGCACCATTTCTGTTTTCATTTCTGATCTAAAATTCATTTAGATATTTTTTGGGGGGCAGCGAGTCAAAAATGTCAGGGTGGTACAACCGTCCTGATATCAAGAAGAAGAAAAAACGCCTGAAAACAATGAAACCATTAAAAGGAAAACCTTTGTAGTTTGACATATTCTTTGATTATTATTTCTATATTATTTGATTATTACTTGTTATTCATATTTGTAACAAAAATTGTCTGCCAAATCAAAGTCATGTGGTGGAACCAACATGCAGAAGTATGAAGTAAAGCAAACATTTATGGGCAATGGTGCTACTGATAAACCTAAATTATAAAACTATTCAGACAAAATGAAACTGGATTTTAACAAGACCGAGGTAAATTATGGTTAGAATATGTATAGACAATAGTGGTAAATTCGTGTCTTGTGGTCTAAATTCGATGTATGGCATAAATTCATAAAGATCTGATGCTAAACTGATGCTTTTTCCCTCTGTTGAGGAGATTATGGAGGTCAGGGCTCTGTGGGGGGAGGGGAGTCACACTAATCTTTACTCGGCACTACAGCATTATTGCTCAGGTTTTATTTAGTCACAGTCCTGCCACATGTGCTCTGGGATTCCCAGGCGAACTTGACCAACCAGCATGCACATTTTTTTTTTGTGGCCAATACTATTACTTTAGAAGTGTGCTTAATTACCATAAACACTACACTAGCTTATTGTGGGTGGTTGGCTAGGAGTTGCTATGCAGTTGCTAATGTGTTCTGAGTTGTTTTTAGTTTGTTGCTATTTGATTACTAGCATGTTCTGGTGGTTTCTAGCAAGTAATATCAGAACATTTGAAGTTACATGATCTGAGGTTTTGTATCATTCATGCTTTTAGTACAAATCTGCAGGATGATTTATATGCTAAAATTTAAAAACATCATGAAATGGCTTGACAAGTATTATTTTCTTTCCTATGTTGAAGTTGGGGTGGCCCTGCACATGACATGCAGAAAAAATAGTAATAAATTAATTAATTAAATGCATAACTTGCACTAGGGACTAAATATGGCTTCATTGCTGATAGGCTAAACATGGACTAGAAGTCACACAACAATTTAGATTTCATTGTGGTCTTAAAATACTTTTCAGTCCAATCCAATTGAATTGCTTTGATTAAAAAAAAACTGCATATAAACATGTATCTTCTGCTTTATTTGTAGATAAATTCAACGCCTATGTGACACTGAAAGTGCAAAATGTGAAGAGTACCACCATCACTGTGAGGGGAGACCAGCCATGCTGGGAGCAGGACTTCATGTTGTAAGTTTTTCTATCACAACTCGTCACTGTAACACCACTACCCAGACAGCAATCTATTATCGCTAATGTACTGGTCAATTACTAGAGGGTAGGGATGTCATATGTAGAGGGTCTGGATGTCTTTCTGCTAGTCATTCATCTGTCACGGCAATGAGAGAAATCTAACCTGGCAACCACACAAACTCTCTGCTTTAAAGCTTTTGTTGGCAAACTAATGAGCACCTCTCAGCCGCCAAGATAACAACCCTGATAATCAGGCTGTTTGTGTGTTGCGTTTCACATCTAGATCCAGTTGGTTTCTTAAAGGTGAAACGTGTCATTTTCTGTGTTCAAATACTTTCTTTTATGATTAACATGTTGGGATTTCCCAGCAATGATCTCAGAGGAGACCTTACCTGTTTGTTCCTTAACAATGAGGACAAATTCTGAAGAAAAAAGGGTGAATAGGATACGGATACACGTGTAGGTCAGATTACCAGATATCAGACATTTTCAGATAGAGCTGTCATGATTCCTCCATTCAGTTGGAGTCCTCGATTGTGTCGAGTAACCGGCAAAATACAAGAAGTGGCGCATTCCATGGACGACAATCCATAAAATACACCATTTTCCAAGGCTGCATGGCATATTGAAAGGGGTCATGAATGGCCTCTGTTTTTTTATTTTGTACCACTCATAATATTATCAGGTCTACTTTCCACTGCCAAGTTTCAGTGAATATTGCGTGACACTGTACATGTAGCCTTGGTTTTGTTGGTTTCAATATTTGATCTAAATGCACATAATTAAATAATTAGCGTTTAAACATCTTACAACTCTAACAAAATTTGTGTGTAACAGGCTATCACCCAGAGAACATGCCCAATTTCGAAAGACAGGTGGCTTTGCTCCAGGAAATGAAACTGGCTTGGTGTTTCTTGTCGCTCATTTGTTTTCTCTCCAAGATTTATATCTGTTTATTTAGATTCCCGTCCTGTCCTCATATTACATCCATGCGTTCTGTCTCAGGTGTTGGATGTGTGTCTTTGTTTGCATAGTCACTGGGATATGGCTGTCTGTAGTTTCTCAACTTATCTCGACTGTTGTTTCACACTGTTGTCGGACTTCTCTGTATGTATTCTTGATTTTTCTTTGACTGTTAAACATTATATGCTTTTGTACTTGTTGTAACATAGTACTAGCTATTAGTCAATTCATTACTCTAGATTAGTGGTACTCAACCAAATTGACATGTTAAAAATGTTTACTTCCTCAATGATATCTATATACTTGATGAAATATGGAAGGCATGATCTTTACTGTTTTTATGACTAAATAAATAACTTCCATAATATTTATGAGCCATTAAATGTCATTCAATCAACAAAAGTGATACAATACTGACTATAGGTCATTGAAAATAAATTAAAGCATTTATTTATTGTTTGTTTGTGTAGTGCTGGTTTCCACAGTAACAGTGACTCACTTGATTGTTTGATTTTGCTTCAGAATTATGGGTAATGTAGTTCTTCACCAGAAATGTAGTGTAATAGAGTGTAGTAAACAAAATGCTGAAATTTTGCTGCATAAACTGTGGTACAATTTTGTCCCAGCCCTAATGAATTTAAGGCTTGTCCACAGGGACCGTAATGCACCCTCATTCCCATTGATGACTTCATGCTTTCTTGTCCTAATGGAACTTCAGAAAGCCAGATGTCATCATTATTGAACAGAGCCCTCCAATCTAGTCAAGCTTTGTGTGTCTTTGCTCTCAGAGGAGCATTTGAAAGCAGCGTTGACATTAACTCAAGACTGGCTAAATATTACAGTATGTAATATTCCAGTGTTGCCTTACAAAATAGCCTGTAGCTGAACCATATTCGTGTGTTGCCTACATGTCCGTTGAATAAATTCAGTCCATTAAGGTTAAGCCAGAGAAACCGCACACTGCACACTTTCGTCTGTTTGCCCTCTCTCTGAGCCTGTTTGACTAGCTTAAATAATTATGATGATATAACCATATTGCCAGTGGGATTACGGCTGTTTATATAGCTCCTCATTTGCTTGTTTGATCAAAGGGCAAAGTTATTGTATCATTCAGACATGTCACGAGTTCAGCTGTTCTTTCTGAACCTCCATACGACCCTGCGGGTGAGTTTGAGACGTCACGTCTCTCCGGACCTGCATTTTTAGCGTGTGCACGTGGCGTCAGCAAGCTTTATCTGTCTCTATAGCAACCTATCAATTAATAATTACTCGGCCCATTGTCGCTTGCCATGTTCTGGAAAACTAACAAGTGGAAAAAAAAGAGAAATAAGCAAACAAGGTGTTCTCTGGGGGTCTAAAACCATCTCATCCTCACCACACTTTGGAGACAATTGAAGGCCTAAATGAATAATGAATGGATTTCCAAATGCTCCTCTTTAAGTGCCGCACTCGCGTGTGCTTTGGGCTTCTCTATTTATAGCAAGCAGAGCGGCAGATAAAAGCCACATTTGTCTCATTCAGTTGTAGAAAAGGCTTGCATCCTGTTAGCAGATGGTGTGAAGCCATTGTTGTGGAGCACGCTTTTACCAGCACAAATATTATTAAATTTTTTACACTGTACTATTTGATTATGCAGAGCAGACTTTAGCATTTGAATAGAGATTTGAACTAATTTATAACTTGTTAGACACACCTGATGTTCAAATAAACAGTGCATTAAATATCACTTAACGTCATTGTGCTTAGAATATTTGCAGTAAGTGCTTCTCAAACACATAATGTTGTCATACTTGATTAACTAGCAATTGCTTGATTAATTAGCAAAACTTGGGAAAAGTTCCCCTGAAAGATTAAAAATCTAGTTTGCTATGCTTTTATTGCATGTTTGAGTCAGCTGTATAATGCTTTTCTTAATCTTTATGTCTGAATAATCCTACACTGCACCTGGGATCTTATAAAACACTGAAACAATGAAGATGAAGCTAATTAGACCTGTTTCAGCTGTTTTTGTCCTTTTCCACTTGGTGGTGTGGTGAAGTACCACACAGTCTGTAAAAATATGGAGATCAAGCACTCAACAAACTGGAGTAGTGGTGCAAGGTTATGGGAGGTCATCTATCAACACATTGTTCAGTTTGTCTTCAACCATATTTGTCTTCAATACACTACTGTTCAAAAGTTTTTTGTTTTTTTTGAAAGACGACTCTTATGCTCACAAAGGCTGCATTTATTTGATTGAAAATTCACTACATTTTATTTAGCAAAATTTTATTTCACAATTTTATTGTGAATATTAAGGTTTTAGTTTAAGTGACGGTTTTCTATTTTTTTTATGTATACTAGAATGTAATTTATTCCAGTAATGCAAAGATACTTATCAATGTTGAAAACAGTTGTGCTGCTTGTCACTTGATTAATTTCTGTCAAAAAAATCTGACCCCAAACTTTTGAATGGTAGTGTATCATTTATGCATTTCTTTTGACAATTAAAAATAGTCATTAATTACTTCCCTTCATGTCATTCCAAACCCGTAAGACCTTTCTTCTTTTCTGTGTCAGACTTCGACATTTGTTTCTTTACGAACAAAAAGTATTTTCGTAGCGTCAAAATTAAGGTTGAACCACTGATGTCACATGGACTATTTTAACAATGTCCTGACTACGTTTCTGGGCCTTGAACATGGTAGTTCCCTTGCTGTCTAAGCAGGGTCAGAAAGCTCTCAGATTTAATAAAAAATATTGATGGTCTTACGGGTTTGGAACGACATGAGGGTGAGTAATAATGACAGAATTTTCATTTTTTGGCGAACTATCCCTTTAAGGCTGGAAAGGCTCCAATGAGATGCTCCTTAAAGAAACTATTAGTAAAATTGTTGTAGTATGTTCAAGATCTGTTATGGGCATTTTATGATGTACTGAAAATTACTAAAAACGAAACGGTTGCAATTGCCGCTTACAAAAAGGAACAAAAAACTACACCTTTTGAAGCGTCTTTTGTTGTGTTGTGACCTTCAGTGAGATCAGCCGGCTGGACCTGGGCCTCATTATAGAGGTGTGGAACAAAGGTCTCATCTGGGACACCATGTTAGGAACAGCCTGGATCCCACTCAAAAGCATCTGCCATTCAGAGGAGGTCAGGAAGTCATGCACATCTCAAAATCTTACATCATTCCGTGATAAAATAAATTTCTTATGGAATGTTTGTAGCGGTTTAATTTCAGTGAACTTGGTCATCAAGCATCAAGCTGTCCTAAAGATTCCTCTCTTTCATGTGTTTCATTTATACTGTAATGAATAACCTTTCCTCTAAACAGGAGGGCCCTGGCGAGTGGATATTTTTGGACTCTGAAGTTCTGATGAAGGCAGATGAGATATACGGGACTAAAAATCCAACTCCACATCGGGTCCTGCTGGACACTCGCTTTGAACTGCCCTTCGGTGAGACTGACTTTTTAAAATTTCTTTGTGTAATTTAAAAAAGTACATCCTTTCATGTTGTTGTTTTTCATCATTTACACAACCATTCAAAAGTTTGGGGTGATTAAGAGTTTTTAAGAATATATTTTTACAATATCACTTTTTTCTGCAAGGACACATTAAGATTATCAAAATTGACACTAAAGACATTTATAATGTTACAGTAGATTTCAGTTTCAAATTAATTCTGCTCTTTCTAAACTAAAAATTCACCAAAGAATCCTGAAAAAACAAAAAAAACAAAAAAAAAAACTGGTCGTGCATCCACAAAAATATTAAATGGCACAACACAACACTGATAGTAATAATAATTAAAAATGTTTCTTAAGCAGCAAATCAGCATATTGGCATAATTTCTGAAGGATCATGTGACACTGAAGACTGGAGTAATGATGCTGAATTCAACTTTGCATCACAGGAATTACATTTTACATCAAAATAGAAAACAGGCATTTTAAATTGTAATAATATTTCACAGTATTACTCTTTTTACTGTATTTTTGTTCAAAGGCAGCCTTGGTGACCTGAATAGTGTTCTTTAAAAACTTTTGAATGGTAGTGTTCTTAGAGCTGTAGTCAAGTCCAGCTTTGTCGAGTCCAAGACCAGGACTAGTCGAGACCGAGTCCAAAGAGGTTTGAGTCCAAGTCCAAAAGTTTCGAGTCCAAGTCAAGACTGAGTCCAAATGAGAGGAAAAAAAAGGATCCTCTTCAAGACCACATACTTAACTATTGATAATGTATGTGATGTGAGAGACAGCATATCTCCTATTCTAAGAAAATCATTTTACATTATTATTTGTAATGATCAAAAAGCATGTGCAAAGTAACAACTCTGTAGGACAGGGGTCTCCTAACTAGATCCTGGAGGGCCAATCCCCTGCAGAGGTTAGCTCCAACTGGCCTTAACACGCCTATCCTATTATAACAGACATATCCACTGATTTGCATTGATTTTGCCTTTCTAATAGTCCTGCACGATATGAGGAAATTCTGCTGTGTGATAACAGTGGAGGTTTAAAAAAAATGATGATTACTTATGATAAATAAATGAATAATTAACTGTGCATATTAGGGCCAACAAATAAAACGAAATATTTTTGTTTGTTTGTTTGTTTTTACAGCGGTGAGCATTACAACCAATAACATACGATTCCATTGAGTTTATTAATGCAATGGCCAATCAAAGGCATTCAGATGAGTCATCGCTGAAACGCCAGAGTTTTGTTGAGTGCTGAATTCCGCACTCTGGCACCTAAATCCACCAGCTATTTCATAGCCCGTTTCGGTGCCCATTGCTAAATAACATGCTCCTACTGCATAACATAATTTAATAAAAATACAGTTGTTCATTCATTGTTAGTTCATGTTAGTTCACAGTGCATTAATGTTAACAAACACAACTTGTCATTTGAATAATGCATTAGTGAATGCTGAAATTAAAGTTAGCTAATATTAATAAATGCTGTAGAAGGAAGTAGGTGTAGACGTTAATAAAACACAATCTAACAGGTAGAAAATTAAATTAGAAACATCTAAACTTTTCAAAACACAGCAAGCGCACTGCGGGTCATGTGACAAGAATCAACCAATCAGCTTCATCCTTTCCCATAACAAAATTGAAAGCTAAGCCAAGACGGAGAAACAGCTGATCATAGCTGTACAAGGATAGCCATTTTTTAAAATAAATTTAGTAGCAGAGCTACTGCAAGGGATTTTTAGTGCTGCAAATACATTTATCCTTTGCTGAAACTTCCGCGTCTTCATGGAGAGCGCAGGTCATAGTTGCTTAGCAACGGCAGATGCCACGGGAGCACACACATAGAGCGCAAGCTACAGAGTGCTTTGGAAAGAAGGAGAAAGTGGCGCGCCTAACGTTTTCCACGTGTTTTCAGGCGCGACATGCAAATGTGGTTTTGTTTTGAAGGAGAAAAAAAGCATATTGCTGGACTCGGTCGAGACCAACGAGAACATTTGGCGAGTCCAATGACCAAGTCCGAGACAAGTCCGAGTGCAAACACCAACAAGTCCGAGACCATAGAAAAATGTCTCGAGACCGGACTCGAGTACTACAGCCCTAAGTGTTCTTGCTTTCATGTTATTCCAAACTAACTTTCTTCAGAAGAGCACAAAATAAGAAATTGTAACAGTCCCCAAGCACTGTCTGGCAACTGAATGTAAAAGAGCAGCGTGGACATTTTTCAGAACTTCTTCTTTTGTCTTCCACATTAAGAATGGCTTGCTGATCTGTTATTAGGAAATGCAGCTGCTTGAGATCAATCCCATCTGTCTCTCTGGTGCTTTTGGGCTCCATTGATTTGTTGAATGTCATCAGGGTTGAGTGAATCTCCTTCAGGCAGCTGCTTGCTTTCTAATAAAACAGTTTTCAGACTGTCTCTCTAAAACTGATGATTTATCCAGCATACAGTGTTATAATGTTAAAAAGTGAAAATTAAAAGAAAAAAGATTTTCAAATTAAATGCTAACAAGTAAAAACAAACAAAGCTTTTTAGACTTGAATGACACTGTTTCCTGAGAAATGGCTTTTTCTCTGTAACCTAGTGTGACAAGGATCCATGTAGCGGAGATATAAAAGGAGGCTTGAGCTTTTCGCTTGCTGGTTGAATTATCACTTTGATTTGCACCTCTTTGTGTAAGACTTAACAAAAATAATTACATTTTTGCCAGCTGTGTCTCCATTGTGAGTGGCGCTATGGGCTGTAAATAAAGTGTGCGGCGGTGAACACACTACAGGTTGTTGGGATGTGAAAGGTCGGACCTTCGTAAGTGGCGAATTTGGCCTGGATACCTGCCATTGATCCCATTCATAAGCCAGACTGTTTTATCCGAGCACTTTGAAGCTACTCTCCTCATGTGCCGTATCCCATGTGCCTTCAAAGGGAGCTGCACACAGTATCTGATGCTTTGTATACAATTGGACCCAATTCCAATTTGTTTTCAGATTTGGTCCTCAGGACTGACAGTCTACCATTTTGCAGTGAAATCGGATTTGATTGTTCAGACAGGGTAGTCACTGATCAAAATATATATATCACACTGTAAAACAATTTATGAAATTTACTAACCATTCCTGAGTGAAAATTGTTTTAAAGAAACGGCAAGTAACAATGAAATTAAACGAGATTAAGTAGAAAGACTGAAATAATTTTCAGTAATTTTGTTTATTTACAACAGTGAATTTAGTTTTATTTATAACTTCAAAAATTACGCACTTTTTACAGTGCAGCTGTCATGGCAATGACTATAAAACAAGAGTCTGATTGTCCAGACTTGATCTGGTTTCAAACTACATATTTGCTTTCGCATTGTGCTTTAGGTCTGGTTTACAAACATGTTTCTTTGCTGTTCAGACTACAAACAATGGTTTCAAACTACATATTAATGTGCTTTAGGTCTGCTTTACAAACATGTTTCTTTGCTGTTGAGACTATAAACAATGAAACTGATTTCTTGATCTGGTTTCAAAATACCTACAGTATGAATGGGCTTTACTGTAGATTTGGTTTGAAAACATGTTTTTTTTCTTTTCAGACTAAACAATGAAAACCATTTCAGTTGTACAAGTAAAAGTGTTTTTTCCCCTACCTTTGTTTTTTTTGTTGAACTGCTGCACAAACTGTTTATACATGCTATTTTTTTTTAATGCACAGGTGTCACAAACATGGTTTGTTTGCTAAGTAACAAATATAGTAAATATTTTCAGTTTGAACTAAACTACTGTTTTTTCCCCTTCCCCTAAAAATAATGCGGCAAATGGAGCTTCAGACTGACAGCACAACATCCCTTTGCTCCTATACTTGCTTTTAAAGTGAAGTGTCAAGTAATGCTCTGTTTTTTAACTGGCAGACTATTTTTAAGGTCCCTCGGCCAAGTAGCTCATTATATATTTAAAAGGTCTGAATACATAATCATAACGTCTTAGCACATGTAAATGGTCTGCATGAGGTTTTATGTCTTGGACTGCAACACTCATGGCTCTACGATTTTGCAGAAATCCCAGAGGATGAGGCTCGATACTGGACCGGCAAACTGGAACGCATCAATGCTATGGGCATTCATGATGAGGTAAGACCTGTGCATGTGCAGCTAAACAACAGCATGCTTTCAATATTTCAGTACATGTGAGCTTAGTTACCAAACAAGAGTCCACACTGACTGTCATTGCATATAATTATATGAGAAGTGGTTGCATGACAATATTCTGAATGCATTTACATTGTGTTTGGCTACAGTTGTCGTTGTAATTTGCATCTAAAAAGGAAGTGTATGCAGCGTTTACCAGAATCACAATATTGCTTTTTAGCATTACTCAACATTATATACTTTACTGTGGAGTAATATGACCATAACTATAAACCTCAGATTAATTTTGAGAGAATAATTACTTTTTTGATGCCTATTATGTTTCTTTTGCCTAAAAAGCTGATGTATATGATTTTAATCTAATATTTGTTTTATACAATGTCATAGCTGTGAGATTTTATGTTACTGTAACATTAGTTTTGAGGTAGAAATGTTATATATGAATCGAAAAATATTACATCCAGTTATCTTGTTTTACTTTTGATTATAGCTGTTTTTGTGGAAAAATATAAACAAAAAGAAAAATATTGATAGTTAATATTAAAATATTAGAATATTTTATTTAAAATTATATTTACCATTTTAGTAAAAAAAGTTAATGTGTATACCAGTTTGACTTTCTGCTTTACACACACATCATTCCTGACAGCTAAAATAATAAGTATAGAATAAGTTATTCAGTAATAGTTTGTAATGTAATAGTATTACTTGAATCTAATTAGAGATGGGTTAATATCATTTATATCTCAGCCACCATTATAATCACTCCTTTTGTAAGATGCAATAAATTAATCATTATCTTGCTCGTCAAGGCTATAACAGTTATTTTTGACACTTATTAATTCTTACCGGTATATTAAATCATGGCAGGTATTTTGCAGTCTGAGTTATAAATGTAGGTCTGATCATATTTTCAAATTTTTTTCTGTTTCCCTCTTGGTTATTTAATAATTAGTGTCACAGCTTTGGTATGTGGTCAGCATGTGCGTGTTCTGTGCAGTTATTTTTTTGTTGTGCATTGTTGTGATTGATTAATAAAATACACATATGGGTATTTGTCTAGGACCTATTATCATTATTCAGATTATATATATATATATATATGAGAGGCCATAAACTCTATGAATATTATTTCTTAAAAGAATTAGAAATATATTGTTCATATATTGCTCTACTCCTGCTGTTGGAGTATAACGTGTCATACCGCAGGACTTCAACTTTCAAATATTTTATATCTATTTAAATATTTATGTACAGCAAATACACCAGTTTATCAATGTCCAATGTACGTTTTTCACAAAATGAAGCAAATCAAGGTAGTCCTTTAAATTAGGGTGACCATACGTCCTCTTTTTCCCGGACATGTTCTCTTTTTGGACCTTAAAAAATGCATCTGTCCGGGATTTTTAAATCGGGATTTCTAAATCGCCCAAAATGTCCGGGATTTGGCTTTTGCTTTCTACAGTCACTTTCTACATTAGTGTGCGTTTTTGTATTAGAGCCATGTGAGGACTGTGTCCAGTCCTGCCTACTCTCGCAAACATTCTAATATTGCATATAATTTTCGCGCATCAGGGGGCCACTATCAATATGTGTAGAATATAATCTCTTTTGGATGAGCGCTCGCTGTTCACTTTCGATTTTTGCGATCACGTGCGCTCCGTGTAAAGGAAGATCAGATATTTGTCAATGAGCTCAGGATCTGTTGAGCAGCAAATCCTCCAGCATGGTCTGTCAGCCATCTCTCCTCTCAACCTGTGATCAGTCAAATCTGACTCCTGCAGCTCGTGTTGGATGCAGGGTTGTCAAGTCCGGCTAATTTTATACTGTTGCCATGGCTTGATATAAATGATATAAACTCATTGGTCTCCACCCCATCACTCAAATTTAACTGTTAAGTCAATTTTTTTTTCAAAAGGACAGTCATTTCCCAGCAGAAACATCATACAAGCTATAATGTGTTTCAATGAGAGTGTGTGTGTGTGTGCGCCTGTGTGTGTGGATATGTGAGTTTTTTTTTTTTGTGCATTCTGCAGTCTCAGCCCTTTGTTTGGGTATGCATCTTTTCTGGATTGTGTCAGATTTTGTATAGTCAAAAAATGGAAAAAAATGGGAAAAAATGCCTTTTTTTCCCCCCCGGACATTCCATTCATTCCTATGGCCGGGTCAAAATGAATGTAATAATTGTGGGTGTAATACTTTTTTTATTACACCCACATAGAATCCTCGAATCGACTAAATTTTTTTTGTGTGCTCCATGCTCAAGTGTGACAAAATTAAATAAATAAAAAAAAAATCTGCAGTTTTTTTGTAAATTCCATGCTTTTCCAGTGGCAGGTCAAAATGACCCATGAAGGGACACTTTTGTTACTTTTTTTTATTTTTTTATAGCACCCACCCAACAGCTGAAATTCACTTGAATTTTTTTTCATGTATTGCCGGTTCAAGTGTGACAAATGTAACAAAGTCTCATACCATAAAGATCGACGTTTGATTTTTAAAAAATCTTTAAAAATGAGTTTTGGGTCAAAATGACCGAATTTATGAATGTCTGAAATTAAGAAATAAGATTTAAATGTTAGTATTGTAGCTGCCTTTGGACGATAAAGTTCTCTAATTTAAAAAAGCTAGTTGAGTTAATGTCAGTTTATTTATTTTTTTTGTGCAACCGTCTTATTTATACGTAATTTGTTTTATGTCATTAAGCTATGCAGTTTCTGTGTGAATGATCGGTGGTGGAATTGCAAGGGGCACCAGCTAAAATCTTGCCTAGGGCACCAAATTGGTCAGGGCCGACCCTGGTTAAAGGTTTGAAATGTTGCATAAATTACATTTGACAGAAATGCTTGTATTGAAACATTTTGCATTCCACCTATGATAAAACTGTGCTAGATTTTAAATTGTGAAGAAGGGCCACTGGTAGGAAGCTTTTTAGCTGTGTTTATGATCAATATGCATAACAGTGACTGTAAAATATGTATATTAGGTATGGAAATGACATATTTTGAGTTTTGATATTTGAGATTGCTCTACTTTGGGCGCTTTCGGCATTACTTTAACCACCAACTAGGGCTGGGCGATATGTCAAAAATATCTTCTCAATAACCGCCTTTAAAAAATATCGCGATATCCGATAATATCATCTACCTAAGCCCCGCCCCGCCCCCGCCGAGACAACATTGCCGACATGCACCATAAACACACACCATGTTCAGTTTGGGCTTAATTATTGCCACAAAGTTTGGTTTTACTTTTCTTAGTTTGTGCTTAAACTAACAGAAAACATTAGCTTTGCTGTTATTTTGGTGTTGCTAATAAATTCCACTCTGTTCTTATCAAATTTGTGTTTGAAATTAATTTCGTTTTGTGAGGAGAACTGTTGAGGACAAATAATAGAACCCAATTTTAAGTTCATCATGGTGCAGTTGGACATTCTGGCGGTGATTTGTAAGAATGATAAATACATGTTAATGTCATATAATAATTTTTTTTCCCTTTCTGGTAGCCTACTAGTTCGGAGGTCTCTTTCGGCCCATTTTAAACGGAATAAAAATAACTGCTTTATTTAATGCAGTGCTACTTTTTGTCTTTTTTCTGTTTAACGTTTATTAAACTGCAGATCAAAATAGAACAGGCCTATACCCTAAATAAGGATAAATTATATTGGAACGCATCTCCAAAATAATCACATACACAGATGCACGTTGCCATTACAGTAGTCAGCACTGAACAACAGACAAATAAAATATAAACTGAGGTTACAAAAGTGATTCAGTCAAGATCAGTGAGGGATTTTCTTTTCTTTTGTTCTTTGATTAACATTATAATGACTGGCAGCAGCGGCTGCTGTCAATACACGGATCCAATACACCCTTGTTTTCTTTCTGGGTTTATGGGATAGTTTGATATAATTCTGTGTGTATTTGTCTATTCGAATGTGTAAGAACACGAGAAAGAGAGCTCAGTCCAGTTTTTGCGTATATAAGAGGCGGCTTTTGTGCGTGCGCTTTGTGTGTGTGTGTGTGTGCGCAGAAGTGAGTTCTATTTCGTCGTCTTGCAGTTGAATCTTTTGAAATCACAATAAATGCGCATGCAGAAATCGAGACGCAGAATCGAAATGTAATTTTATAACAAGTAATTTGATTCCTGACCTTAGGCATCTGATCTGGTTTCCGAAATTGGAATAGCTTTTCGATTCCCAACCCTCCTACTAAATTATTTAATTCGTGCATGCACAAAAACCTGTATGGTGACTTTGGGGCTATGTAAAAAAAATTTTGTAACTTACTAGGTTTATCATTTGTCATTTTTTCCTGATAATGTCAATAATCGTCTGTTACCTGACTGTTGACATCGACATTGCGATACTTACGAGACATCGTCGATATACGATAATATCGTCATATTGCCCAGCCCTACCAACCACACCCCAGCCCCCCGACCCGCCTGGCCCGGCCCGGCCTGCACCCACTGTCCTCTTTTTGGAATTTAGAATATAGTCACCCTACCTTAAACGAACCAGTCTCATGACACACACACACGCACACACACGAACTGATTGAAGTGAGTTTTGCTGTGAATTTGCTTGCCATTTAATAGTTATTTTATTTACTGAAATCTGCATGTCACCAATAACTGAGGTTGTTAATTGCTTTAATAGTAATTAATTATTAATTGTACATTATACTTTTTTTCCCCTTGTTGTCTCTTACCATCTTCTTTTACTCTCCTTGTGTCAGTTTCCCTTACAGGATGAAGTAGCGGGACGCCCCCTGCCCTGTGCTGCCTCTCAATGCTGTGAGTGACAACATCCCACACTAGATGGAGCCTCAGCATCATGCCTGATGCTTCACTGTGCTCTCCACTCCTTTACATGCTGCTTCTTGTCACCTTTAAATGGCATAAATGTTAACATACAATCTGTTCACAGCATAAATGTTCACTCAAGCATCAAGCACAAGTAAATTCACATTAGCATTGCAATATCAGTCTTTGTAAATGAGTTTGTTTTTGCACATCTTCTTTCACTCTTAAATTTTAATTTCACCAGGCAACTATTTTGGATGGGCCGACAGTCAGAGTATGTAATGTGTATTCAGATTTTATATAGTAACCCTTTACTCTAGATTATTCCCTGGAACCCCCCCCTGGACCCTCAAAATAAATATGCTTTCATATGCGCCCCTAAGTGTTGAGATTTTTATGCACACTTGTACAAATAAATTAAAATACAACACAAAGCATGAATTTTCCCTGAATTTCCTTGAGTTTTGACCTTGTTGAAATGTGTTCTTTGTGTGCATTGTGAGCTCCTTGTTTTAATTCTCCTGCACTTACTTCCTTGTACTTGTTTATATTATGTGACTACTTTGTTGCAAAGAGACACATTTGATTTCACTTAGATGATCAATGAGATTTGGATTTTACATTTTTCATGTAATCTTTTATGTACATTAACATATTTCATATATAAAAACAAGGACAGATTGGCATTTTGTTGTTTTTCTCACTTGTAATGTTTCCCTGTCTAGCTTTGGATGACCTGGACAGTGCAGTGGATGATAGAGACAGTGACTACAGGAGTGAGACGAGCAGTAGTTTACCTCCACGCTACCACACTACAGCCCAGCCCAACTCTTCACTTCACCAGTATCCCATGGGGCCACACTTTCAGCAGCACATGGATTCCTGTGCTGACTCTTTGCACAGCTTTGAATTTGACTATAGAGATCACCATGCAAGCAGGTACATTCAGTTCCTATGAGTACTGTATGCGTCCATATAGTACTATGCATTCTTTGTGTTCAACTGTGCCAGTTTTACACTTTTAGCTTTGAATGTAATGGTTCTAGGATGGTAATTTCCATAACTACGCTGTGAAATAGCAATTTATATATATGGTTGCAGATTATCCCTGTTTGTTATGCTGAACTTTAAACTTGCAATTTGAGGACGGATTTCCAGTCTTTTAGACTTGTGATTTGTGTAAGAGAAAGAAACTGAAATGTGGTATTCTGAGATTGTGGTTAATCAGAGTCTCTTGTGTGGCCCAGTACAGAACTAATCTGGATAATTCTTTTGCATCAGATCCCTTTTAAAAATACATTAAGTTATGGTTGAAATTACATTTGTGTGTAATTTATGTATTTTCCCACCAGCTGTATGCATAATTTTGGGGGAGGGGGGCGGGGTGATTAAAAATCTGTTGATTAGCGAGTTGAAAAGCATTTAATGGTTCGGTAAAGACTGTATTTTTCGCTTCACATTTCTGGTAATCCGCTTAAATTTTTTTGTTTCATTTCACAACTTTAGTGCATCACTATTACCGTGTTCTTGCTCTCAGCAGCTTTTATCTCTTATGTTGAAATACATATATTTTTTTCTCTTTCTTTCCCCCTCCTTTTTATCCTCTTCCATCCTTTTTAATCTCTGCTAGAATTCCTAATCATAGGGGTAGAGTTAGGATTGTCCCTGTAGATTCAGGCATGGGTGTGGAGGATTGGGAGGTCAAATACAAACTACAGGGTAAAAGTACCCTGTGTGAGTTCCTTGATAGAGAAGAACAGGCATGGATTGAGGAACATGACAGAAAAAATTATCTTGTTCATATTGAAAAGGCTTGCCATGATCCCATAGTCAACCAGTTGTCTCCAATCAAAAAAAAAAATGCTTCATTAAATGCCGCTTACCCAGAAGGCTATGCTACTATTGACCGAAGGCGAAGAAAAAAAATCCGGGACCCAGGAGGGCTGGAGCATGTTGGAGCAGAGCATTACCCACCCGATCTTGCATTTCTCCGTCAAAAACGAAGCGAGCTTGTGTTACGCCAAGTGAAAGAAATGGAAGAGGCTGATGAAAACATGATGCCATGCTTGAAACCATACAAAAATGGCTTACTCTACAAAACAAGAATGTGGGCCAAAAATAAGCTAGAAAACACACTGGAGAATTATGTTGCATATCAAGAGGAAGAAGCAGCTAGACAGAGGGAAGATGTAGGCTTTGATTCTGAGGGCTCAGATGAGCAGTATCCCATTGGCTCTGAAGAGGAGTTGGAGGAAATTACCTCTTTAGCTAAGGCGCTCAGGACTGAGGAGAGGAAAAATGATAGCCACTATGGATATTTCTCAACATATGGGAGCCAAACTGAGAGGCTTCAAGGTTACCGTGATAAGAAGAATGGAAAGGGTAAAATTGGTGGATGGGCTCCAGAGGTCATGCTTTCTCCTGTTGAGGAACCTAGTGATGAATATGTTGATCCTATAGATGAGCTGCAGTGCCTGGTTGAAACCGTATCAGAATATCTAGCTGAAAAAGAAGAGGAAATCAGTAAATATGGATCTTTACCCAAGTCTAACAAATCAAGGCTGTCATCTCAGGGTAGTGCAAAAACAGAATCCGTTGGAGATGAGCAAGGTATCACCTCTAAGGAAGTGAAAGATGAACCCATAGATGCCAAAGAAAGAAATTCAAGTGGTGCTTCTGACCATGGAGTGGCTGGGATGAAGAATGCCATGAGTTCATTATTTAGCTCTTTAACAGATAAAGTTGTATCAAGCTCAAAACAAGTGGACTCTACGTCTGTTGAACAATCAGAGAATTCAAGTAATGTTCCTGTTAGTTCTGGTATATCAAAATTGTTTTCCTTCATGCCAAAGTCTGCAAGTCCCACACCAGTAGCTGTAGTATCCCCTACTCAGGATCCTCTGTGTGATAGGAAGTTTTCAATGCCATCTGTGTTGCCTTTCCAGCCATCTGATGCCAAGTTGCAAAGGGTGGACCTCTCAACTCAACCAATCAGAAATGAGCCCAACAAATACAGTGTTGTCACAGCTCACAATGAGACATCGTCTTCTGTGAATTCAGTATTGGGAAAGGGGAACACTTTCACTGGAGATAGTGTTGTGAATGGAACAGCCAAAAGTTTTACTTTTGATGCAGGGAAAATGCAGCCAGGTGATCAGTCCAGAGCTTTGAATTGCAATACAAAACTCCATACAATGCCAGATGCGTATAAAGTTGCTGATGGTGAAAAACCTAAAGCTTTTAAAAATATCTCTAATGAGATAAATAGTGAGAAGGCACACACTGAGCCTATAACACAAAAAGCTGCTGAAGAGTCAGGTTTTTTCAGTCCTTTTAAGAAATCTTTCAGTTCATTAATCTCACCTGGACCTCCAGTGCCTCCTCAGACTCAAACACAGACAGTTTTTCCTGTTTTCAGATCAGCAGAAGACGTTAAGGTAGAAAAACTTTTAGACCAGTCCACCCTAACAAAACAAGCTTTTGTCTCTTCTGACAATGTATCCTTCCCACAATCTCCAAAGGCAGAAAGAGGGCTGTTTTCTGGATTGTTTAAGTTTGCATCTGGTGAGGATTCAAGTACATCCAAAAGTATGCCACAAAACTCAGTTAAGACAGATCAAACTCTTAATGCCCCAAACAAAATTACAGGTGTAATGCCATCTTCAGTTCATGACGATGCAAAATCAACAACACATAACCACAAAGAACCTGAGGCAACTGCTAAGGGGAACACAGAAACCGGCTGGTTTTCTAGTCTTTTTAAGATGGCACCAACTGAAGATCTGCAGCCTGTTACTCCACATGCCCAAAGGCCTAATATTCAGAACTCTCCACTTCCTCCAGGGTCAAATCAAAATGTACCTAGGATGCAACCTCAGAATCCATCTCCGGCTAAAGAACAAGTGCAACTTAGGCACCAACATCCTAGTCCAACTGAAGTCCCTCATGAAACAGAGCAAAAAGCATCTCAACATGAACGTCAGGGCCTGTTCTCTGGTTTGTTTAAATCAGCTGCTTCTGATGATACATCAGTTACCCAAGCATCTACTAATCAACCACACCAAGGAGGCTTACTCTCAGGAATCATGAAATTTGCTTCTACAGGTGATATGACCACAGGTACTCAACTCAATCAATCACAACAAAAGAGTCTGTCTGCTCTAATAATAAATCAACAAACCCAACCTCACACCCAACAAAGTGCATCTAATCCTCTTTTCGCAGGGCCATTAAATGTTTCCTCCACAGAAAATAGACCCCCTCAACAAAAAGACTTTCAGCAACCGTCAACATTTGCAAGTGCACCACCTCAACAGGGAAGTATTTTATCTGGCCTTTTCAGATTTACCTCCACTGACAAGGTTTCAGACACCGAGACAAAGATCTCCCAGGAGCAACAAAAATCATCAAGTGCAAGTGCCTTTCAAGATCCTGTTCAGCATAATACTGAGGGACAGAGTTGCAACCTTCTTCAGCAGTCCAGAGTCCAAAATAAGCAATCAGACCCACACCAGAAAGGCATATTAGATGGCCCTAGACAAAGTGTATCCCATCAAGGACCTTCTCAACAAGATGGCTTTCTTCCTGGACTTTTCAAGTTTGCATCCTCAGATGTTTCTGTATCTCAATCAACTCAACAAATACAGGCATCTAACAATCAGTCCACTCCACTTCAGCCAACAAAAAATGTGATGGGACAAAGCAAACCATCTCAAGAACAAAAACCCCAGTCAGGTGGTCTCTTCTCTGCCTTTCTCAAAACATCCTCCACTGAGTCACAGGAACTAAATACACCACTTGTTACACAGGAAAGCAAGGAACATTCTTGTTTGCAGCGGTCAGCTATGACAAAACAAAGTTCTCCTGTAGCAAGGCAAGATACATCCTCTCAGTCAGGAATTTTGTCTGGTGTTTTCAATAAACTCGCATCCTCATTTGAGGATGTATCTCCAAACAGCCAGAATTCATTTAAACAGAAACAGGAGCAGCAACACATGCCAACAGAGATTTACACTCAAGGTAAATCAAATAGAAAGCTACCTCAAATACCTCCTCAAAATCAACATGCACTGCAAAACCAAAAGCCCCCTATTCAACAAGGTTTCTTATCTGGAATATTAACCAGGAATACAACAGAAATTTCCCCTGCCAAACCAGAGAATGTGGTTATGGAAGGATCACATTTGAAGTTAAATTCTTTAGGACTGCAGAGACACAAGGTATCTGACCCAAATAATGTGCCAAACATCTGTGACACAGAGAGCCTTGATTTGAGGACTCCAGCAAGTTATGCTCGGTCACAACAGAATCGTGCTGCATACACATCTAATAGTACCAATAATTTACCCCTCTTATATAGCTCACAAAACTTTTTGCTCTCAAGCCAAATAAGAAACATGTCATATAGCACCGAAAATCTTAGTAGCCTCCCTCTTGGTTACCCATCTCAAGCAGTAATGTCACAGGAATATTTAAGGCAGAGTTATCCATCCTTACATGGTGTATCTGATCAATATGCCTACCCACAAGTCTCTTCTTCATATGCATTGGGACTTAGTCCCAATGATGAACACTCATGGATCCAAGAATCTATATTGTGGCAACAGCTGAATGATCAGTCAGTAGGCTGCTATCCTGATGGACATGGAAGTATAGCTAGTGATCCAATCCTCAAATCTTCTCAGTGTCTGAATAAGATAGACATGGATGTTAATCAACAATATTTTCCTACTCAGCCATGGATGAGTTTGCACGCTTTCCAAGGAGAGAGCAATAATCAACCAGAGTATTCCAAAGATATTCACCATAGTTCTATGAGACCGAGATTGTGGAATAGCCACAACAGTTTGGATGTTATTAGTAGTCAGGAATTTGAGGGTGTATTGAATTTGAGCATGAAGAATAATGCTAAATTAGGAAAGTGGAACTCGTTTAGTGCAGATAGTTGTAACAGTCTAAACAGTATTTCATATCATGAGGGATATTATGAGGAAACACCTCCACCTCTGTCTTACTCCGCTAATGGACAGTATATATATCAAGGCACATCAGACATTTGCAGTCAACCTGGGAATAATGGAAGCTATATTAATGTAGCTACATCTCCCAATCCATGGAATTACTCTTCAACAAGCAACATTGATATGGAGGAACATGTGTATCTTGAGGAGTCAGAGTGGTATCAGCAATGGCTTTCACTTTTGGACCAAGGGATGTGGTGGCCAGCAGATGATGGAGATTGTGGATATTTTGTCTACACTGATTATGAGTACATTTATGCTCTACTGACAGATGTGTCTGGGCAGTATGTCTATGCATGTGCTCCAGAACAAGACTGGGGAAATACAGGGGACTTGTATCCTAATGCCTGGCTGTATAATGAGATGGTTAAAGTTTGTGGTTTTAAGATTCCTCTCTACAATGAAGATGAGCTCCTTTGGATTCCAGGGCAAAACCAAAGTGAAGCTGAACTTCTGACCGCACCACTTGACTTGTCGGCAGCCTATAGAAAAGGTAACCAAATCATGAATCTGAACCTAGAGCGTTTCTCTTGGATGTTTGAGAATTCTATTCTTAATCAAAGACTGCAAGCTCTAGATTTTTCCTCTTATCAATTTAATAAGGTTAAAATGGATACAAAACAACAGCTCCAAAACAATTGTGGGTACTGGAATCCTTGTCAGGAAGCTGTTGACCTCTCATATCATGGTGCCAACCACAACAGTGCAAATCTCAATAGCAGAGGAATAAAAGAACTGCTATCCCAGAAGGTTCCCATTTCATTTGGTGCTACCCCAACCACAAATTCCCCTACCATGGGTGTCTACAGCTGCTATCAGCCTCAACAGAGACGACGTTCATCCACTGGAGTGCAAGTAAAGCATATAGATGATGTTTCCGAAGAGGAGTGGAGAAAGAGAGTACAGCCTGGAGAGGAGCAGCCCAATCGACCCATTAAGAAAATATCCTCTTTTCTATCCTCAATTGTTGGCAAAAGTTCGGATTCAGAATCAACCAAAAATATAACTGTCTCAAGGTCGCCTAATGCCAAAGATGCTCCATACACGGGACAAATGCAAAGCAAATTTACTAAATCCTCTGAAACTCGACTTGGTGATCAGCAAGCCAAAAACATGATCTCAACAGGTTTTCATAGTCTTAAATCAAAGATCATAAAGGATGATGACTCCTGTGCAACAGCTCAGTCAGCGAGCACAAATCACTTGGCATCCAAACCAATTTCAACAACATCTGGTGTTTCAGTATCATCTCCAACACAGTCACCAGCTTCCACAACTCCTCAAGGTGCATCCACTTTAAGCTCATCTCAGAAACCCAAACTGGCTAGACAAGCCACAATGTCACAACAGTCCTCTGTTCCTTTAACATCTGTTGGTTCTACTACTTCAATTTCAAGAGACTGCTCAAGTGTAACCTCCAAATCGGCTTCTCCAGAAGGTTCTCAACCAGTAGATACACATGGTGGAAAGCCATCTGAGCAGGCTGGTGGGTTTTTAACCTTTTTCAAGACTGCAGTGGGGATAGAAGAGGTAAAGTCAGATCCCTCTAAATCTACTCAGTCAGTATCTAGACAACCAGAGAAAAATGGATCTGCTTCTGCTGGCAGAAAATATTTAACAACAAATCAAGACGAAACTGGAAAGTCTAGCCTTTTTGGGTCAATAGGTGATATTTTTAACATAGAAAGTCCTTCACCACCAAAGACAAATCTGCAACATTCTCCCTCACACCTGCAATCAACTAATGTACTAAATTATGTGAACAAAGACTGCTGCCAAACAAAAACAATGCCTAAAGTAATTCAGAAGCAACAAACAGTAAGTGCCTCTGGACAAGATGGTCAGTCGGAATTACCTAGTGTATCACAGTCATTTCAGGGAAGGAGTGTCTCAGCATCTCAGATATTTTCCCCCGACGCTAACAAGGTACCAATGCCAGGGAGATCTCAAACTATGCCACCAACTGGGGAGACAAAACCAGAAGCCCCCTCCAAGCAATCTGGTGGCTTGTTTGGTTTCTCTGTTGGGGATATGTTCTCTGGGGCCACAGCCTCTAAAGAGGAAGGCAAAGGGCTGCTGTCCATTTTTGGTGGTTCCAGTCAACAACAACCTCCATCTCAAACTGGATCTGCCTCTCCTCAAGAAAAAAGGGATAGTGCATCTGCAAAAGAGCCTCTAGGCAAAAACATCCTGACTTTTTTTGGAGGTTCCAGCATTCAACAGACTTCACCTCCATCTGGATCCTCAAGTCAAATGCACACACCAGGATCTGCTCCTCTCAAAGAGACTCAAGGTCTCAATTTATTTTCTGTGTTCAGTGGCACTAGTACACAGCAGTCTTCAGCACAACCTGATTCTTGTAATCAAAAACAAACACCAGGCACTGTCCCTCCAAAGGAAACATCAGCCATGGGTTTACTCTCCATGATAAGTGGTTCTGGCACTCAGCAGACTTCACCTGGATCTGGAGCTGATCCACCAAAAGATCCACCAGTAACAGGATTGCTATCGATGTTCAGTAGCCCTAATCAACATCAGACATCACAACCACACTCTACCACACAGCCTGCACCCCAAGAAAATGGACAACAAAAAGAGCCCCTGGGTAAAAGTTTATTTTCTATGTTTGGTGGTTCAGGGCAACAACCTTCACAGCAGACAGGATCAATTTTTGGTGGTATATTAGGTGGATCTTCAAGCTCTACTGAGAGTCCAGCAAAAGGTTTATTCTCTATGTTTGGAGCACAAAGCCCACAACCACCAACTAACAGAGTTCCAGGCGCTGTCCCTACTAATGAGCAGACAATTAAACATACTACTTTGTTGGATGGGTCTAACTCCCAACAAGCTCCACCACAATCTGTCTCTTCTTCTACAAAAGGAGCAACCATTGCAAAGGAACCACCTAAAGACAGTCTAGCAAAGGGTTTAGTTTCGGACTCTGGAATAGCCAGTCACCCAACAGCATTACAGGAAGGCTTGACTCCTGAGTCTGTTGTCCCATCGAATGAGCCATCAGTAAATGAAATACCCTCCTTGTCTAGTGCACCTAGCCCTCAGGAATCCCCACAAAAACCAAGTAAAGAGTCAAAGGAGTCACAAGGTAAAGACTTGATCACTGGACAAATTCCACAGCCAGGTTCTTCTCAACCCTCCTCACTTCTAAGTGGATTGCTATCAAATGAAACCCCTGGTAAAAGTCTTTTGACAAACCTTACTGAAGCTATAATTCAGCCAAGCGAGACACCAGTTACACCAAGCTGTGATCCAACTGTATCAGCACCAAAAGCCCCACAAGAAGTATTGACAACTGTTGATGGTAGATTGGCATCTTCTGAATCTAGTAAGTCGCCGGCACACCAGGAGGATTCTTCTGCTCAGGGTGTAGTACCACCAAAAGAGGGAGCAACCTCAGGCTTGTTGTCAATGTTTTCTGGGTCAGGTTCTCAAAATGTTCCTTCTCAAACTGGGTCTATACTTGGCGGGATTTTCCCTGGTGCCTCAGGATCAAAGGAAATTCCTGGCAAGAATTTGTTTTCTATGTTTTCTGGGCCAAGTTCACAGCCCAGTGCAGGTAATACAGGGCCTAAACTTGAGAGTAACAGTCCAGGGGCTTCTACCTTCAATGAGTTACCAGGAAAAGGTTTATTTTCTGTGTTTGGTGGATCAAGTCCACAACAGGCCACTCCTCAGTCTTCTTCACTATTAGGTGGTCTTCTATCTGGAGTTGCTTCTAAAGATGCTCCTGGAAAAAGTCTTCTTTCCATGTTCGGTGGGCCTAATTCAACACCTTCACCTAGTCAAACAGGATCAACATCCAAACCATCTGAAACTGAGGGGCTGTTGAAGGTTGCATCATTATTCTCTCGAGGGGATGCCACTGAGGATAATAAATCAAAGACAGTGGGCTTTAGCCTGTCAAATTTGGGCTTCATGGAGGAAAAGAAATCCGGACCACAGAATGATGATTCCAAGTATTCTATTCCCTTGGGCGATCAACAAAAAACAGCAGCTTCCATGGCTCCAGTCTCTGCTGATATTGCTGACAAAAGCTCAGATCACGTTGTTGAGACAGTTGCTGCTGAGGGGAGTAATCTAGATGTTACCATAAATAATTCTAGTTTGCATGGACATGCTTTATCAAAGGATGTTGATTCTAACTCGGAGCAGAGTACAAAAACAGAAATCCAGATTACAGATCACAAACCTAAGTCTATAAAACAGACTGATTCAATAGAGCCCAATGCCTCTGGCTCTGAAAGACTTCAACATAATGAACAACAGAAATCTGTCATAGACTCATCAGCTGAAGCAGTCAGTGGGTTTATGTCTAAACTCTTTACTGGTGCCAGTTCAGCAACAAATTCATCAGGAAGTCTCTTCTCACAAACAACCACAGAAAAAAACTCACTCTTTGACCTTCCAAGTAGCTTGCCCATGGAATCTATAAAAAATGACCTTTTCAGTATGTTTAAATCACCAGAAGCACCCAAAGCAGCTGACATAGCACCATCTATTACCTCTACTCTTCAGTCTCTTCAGTCAGTCCAAGATCAGAATGCACATAATAATTCACTGTCATCTTCTGGGGATGTTACATTGTCTGGAGACAAAGATGAAAAAGATAAAGTAGAAACCCTATTATCCATGAAAGAAATGTCTGCTAATGATACTTTGAATAATTCAACAGTTGCAAGTGTAGATCCCACAGTAGCGTCCAGCTGCCATCCAGGTGAAACAATTGTTAAGGAGCCTTCTGACGTTAAAGTAATACATGAGAAAACCATTGTCATTATTTCTGAACCTGAAGCAAAGGATACAGACAAATCAATATCTGCAATAGACAGTAGTTCAAAAGTGGCTCAAAATCCTCCATCAACAGAAACTTCTCAGTCTATATTTGGCATGCCAAGTTTAACAGCACCCAAGTTGGGTTTCATGGCTGGAGCTGCAGATGCTGGGAAGTCTTTTGGATCTTTCTTTTCTTCATCACCCTCAGTACCAAGCACAGAAAGTGGCAAGCTTCTTTCTGGGCTTAAGTCATTTTCAGCAGGGCTGTTTCATGAGGAGGAGTCAAAAGAAGAAACATCAGCATCTTTGTTTGGAACAAAATTGGGTTTTCCATGGCAGAAAGAAACTCAAGAACCTCCTAAGCAACAAAGACCTCCAGTTGTTACAACCCAACCTAAAGCTCAAAAGAATGAAGTTCACATTGAGAATAGTACAACTGCTGAAATAGGGCATGACAATTTTATGTCAAAGGAAGAAAATGGTGAAATCAAACACACTGTTGATGTTAAACAAGAAATGGTTGCAAATTCTGAAGTCCAAAAGAAAGAATTTGTTGTCCCAGAAAATGACACAGATGAACCCCAACTCAGTTTATCCACTCCTGATCCTCCTCTTCTAAAAGAATTGGAAATCCATATCCAGACCCCACCCTCTACAGATGATTCTTCAGGATTACAGCAGGAAAAGAAGGACCTTTTGATTCCAAAAAGGCTAGTAGCAGCATACTAAATGGTTTCATAAACCATTTATGTTGCACTAAGTTTACATGCACAGTCATTATTCTATCAAAAGGTTTTTTTTGTTTTTTATGTTGTTCATCTATCAATTTCTGGGCTTTGGTCTCTGCGATGAAATAATTATTAGAATAGGACTTCTAGTAGTGCTCACGCAAATCTGCTGAAGACCACTTAACCCATGAAAAAGTGCTATTTATTACATGTATGCCATCTGAAATATTCAAATTCAAACTTAAGGGGCTCATTTTAATCAAAATATCTCAATATGCTGAATAAGAATATTAATGTGCATGTAAACACGCTCATTGACTTTAATTTTAGCTTTAGTTTACGAAAGTGGTGGCTTTCCCAATGTGTGATTTGTTTCTTCTCAGTGCTATGTGATTTTTGTATAGTAACTGTGCTTTGGTTCGTTGTAACTTTGTATTTCCTTTAGCTGTGTGTAGCATTTACTGTTTCTTAATTGGAGACTGGCTACATTTATGTCGTTTTAAAAATCTTAGTTACTGTAGCTCACTTGCTGCTTTCTTTTTTTGTTTCTTTTCAACAACACTAGCCTTGTGGACTCCAGTCGTTTTGGATCTTCAGGGAACCTCAGCCAAGCTAGTTCCCAGCTCAGTGAGACTGGTCAAGAGAGTGCTGCTTGTTCAGAGTTAGAGGAGTCCTACCATTCCTACCACAGTACCGGCTATCGACCATCCAGAAATGGGCATCACCCTACCAATGGACATACATCCTGGGGGGAAGATGAAGGATTGAAATCTTCCCAAGAAAATGGAAAGGGTATAAGCAGCACCATAAAAAAGGAAGCGGTTTCTCAAGTGAACAAAATGCCTGATAAAACTCTCAAAGGGTAAAGATATTGTATTGGCTTACGGTGGTTTTCCAGTGCACATTTGGTATAATGAATATTCAATAGCATGAATTAATTTTCATACAATGTTTTATTTTTGTAGCTTCAGGGACGATGGAACGCCTTTGCCATTCTCTCCATCCAGATTGCGCTGGCTTAAGGCAATCAACAAAGTGAGAGTTCAACTTAAGGAGGTATAGTAGGGAGCTCATACCCTCCATCTCCTTTGTCTATTCCTTTTTAAGTTGATCCAGTGTTTCACACTTGATATTAAACACTACCCACATATTTTTTCCTATAAACCTGCACCAGTTATCAGCATCTTATCAATCAAAATTATCATTTGAATTTGATCCGCTTCCCTTTATTGCTTTTCAGTAGGTAAGTCTGAATTGCACAACCCCATTCAACTCATTCATGAACATCTGTTTTGGATTGGTTGAGTTTCACCATTTAAGATTTAAACTTGTGAAATGTAAGTTTTTGAAACTTTGTGGAAATAATTTTGGTTGGTTGCAACTTGGAGATATTAAATTCATGAGTGCAATGAATGTGGTGGTATTCCACTTTGGTACTCTATCAGCTAGGCAAGGCATGCTGGATTCTCAGCCTAGACCTCGCAGCCTTAATCTGCAAGGGCCAAGGTCAGGCTCTGAAGAGTTGCTGTCTGATATCGCTGATAAAGTCTCAGGGAGTAATTCGCATTGAGCGGCAGGGAGCTAGAGATAGCATGCGTCTTGAAGAGTATTTAATGACTAGTTAAAAGAAATTGGGGACTTGACTTTTAAAGTTCACAAAGTAAAGTACATGGCTATTGCTATTGCTTATGCCTAATTATCAAAGTGGAATACGGTATGTTAAAGATGTAAATACAGCATGTTGATTTAAAATAATCATTTTAAAGGAAAAATAACAATAAAAGGCCAGAATTAAGTTTTCACAAGTTTTTTCCATAAATCATTTAAAACCAGTTTATTTATTATAAAATATAATAAATTATTACAAACTATTTAGTTATTGCGTGCGCGCACACACACACACAAATATATATGCATTTTTATTTTATATTTTTAATTTTATATTTTAATTGATTTACCCAAATTATAAATTTTTAAATGAACTGTTTAATAATATAAATGATCACAATCTAGATTTTTTCCCTTTTTGTTCATTGTCCTGTTGTTTGTTCTATAAATGTTGGCCTATTTTACTCTCTTTTCTTCACTCTCTCTCTCTTTCTCTCATCCTGACAGCCAGTAATTAGCTATGCTGTTGTCCCCCTTCATTTCTTTAATTTGACCGCACAAAATTGAGTGTGTGAGCCACTAGAAATAAATGAACATTGCGGGCACTTATGTGGCTTGATCGCCTCGCACTTATGTGGCTTGATCGCCTCGCATTGAGTCTTAATAAATCCAAATTAATAGTGTCACCAAATCATAATGGCAGATCAGATTAATTCCATCTTGGATTGCTTTGGATAAAAAGTGCCCGCTTAAGATTTTATGTTACAGAATGTCTGTTTTTTTAATGTATAATGTGTACAGGTGGAGTAATTTATTCTGATAACCTAACTTTGCTCATGCTAATTAAGTCATCTCACATATGTTGCTCTTCATTGAGGCTCACATTATAGTGATTGCTGCTTGAGACTTGTGGTGGATGCTTATGTAAAATCTGCTAAATTAATACAGTGGAGACAATGGGTGTGGTTTAACACACTGCTTGGCTGCATACATTTTTGTGTGGAGAAGGACATAAGAAATTATTCGAGTTAAGCTTATTCTTATAAATATCTACACTGAAGGAGTTTACAGGCTCTTGTGTGCTATCTTACAAACATAAATCAAACACAGATAGGACATTTAATCCTGATTTCCACATCTCTCTGTCTTAAAGGTGTAATAAGATTTGACTAATCCCCTAAATGGCCCTATCATCTTTAGTATTGTTTAAAAGGATATTTTTAAAAATTATTATTCACATTATGTGTACCATATCATGCCTTATTTATAGTGGATTGTTGAGCAGTATTATAACTTTCCTGTCATTTGCTTAATTGATTGTACATTATTTCTGACTCTGTGTATTTATGAAAGGGGAAAAAATGCATTGTAACATGCACATGTTTAACAGGAGGCAGGCACACAGCAATGCCGATAAGAGAGAATAGGGACATAGAGGAGAGATGGAATGCTGGCGTTTTGACAATTCCAGATTAGCTTTGTGCTGGAATACATCGCCAGAGGACACTGTGAATAAGAGCGAGAGAGTGAGGGAGAGAGAGTGAGGAGGATGTTTGAGGCAGAGATGCTCCACTGTGACCGTGTCACACTAGCCTAGACTGGAACCCACTCAACTGTGCCGATGTCTGTGTGTGGAGAGGGTTGTGTCGGCTTCTTTGTTCAAGATGTGTTGGTTTGCCAAAGCAGCCGATTGGATAATTCCTTGCAGAAAAGGAGTGTTGATTAGGTCAACCATTTGATATCCAGAAGCATTTTTATATGCAGGTGGTTTGGAGGTTGTTGAATCTTCAAAGTGAAACTTGATTTTTTTTCTGGAGGTAAGTTTTGTACTTTTTCAGTCTTGTGTTGATGAATTGTATGAAATTTGTCAAGAAATGTCGAGGGCGTATTTCACTTGAAAATCTATTTTGCATGAAAATAATTTAGTCTTTTAATGGAACCTTTCACTAGTTTATGAGGTTCATCTGAAAATGTTGAATGCATGATGGTGTTTTATAAACTAAAGGTGAAATATTTATTGTAATTGAATTATTGTTAACCGTGTAGTTCAGTTTTCAGATGGTTTAAGTTCTAAAATATAGATTTAAGTCCTTTAAGATGGTGATCACAGACACCAAACACCAGGAGTAATAGAAAGTATTAATTGTATAATTTAAAATATATTAAAATTAATTAACTCGTACTTTCTTGACTGCAGATGAAAAGGCAGATAGGACAGATCACCTGCTTTGGGATAATTTTGTGTGATATTTATTTATTTATTTTTTCTGGGTGGTTTGGTGAGGTGGTTGTTAAAACTCATGTTCTGGTTCAGTCTCTGAAGGTACTGAAAGCTATAATCCATTGCACCCTTGAGCAAGGCACTTAGTCAATCTGAAAAGTGTTCGACAACCCATGTCACTTCTGTAATGTGATGTAACGGGAATGAAACGGGATAGTCGGTGAAATATAGTTGTGAAGTGTAGTCAGTGAAGTATAGTTGTAAGATAGTTCTATATATATATATATATATATATATATATATATATATAATATAATATATATTTTTTAAAATATGATATATTGTGATATATATCTCTCTGTTTTATATTTTTT